CAAGACGCCTGCCATTTGATATAAATAAAATAAATAAATACATTCTTGCATGTAATCAAATTATTCGGTTTTCCCAGTTATTCATTGACAATGTTTTCTGTTCTACTAGCAAATCTAGCAACATACTTGGCTAGTTATTTCAAATAGTGTAACTGCATCAGAGGAAAGCTATAATTCACAACATTTGGCACCGAATGCAAGTTCTTTAAATTGCTAAATGCACTGATATAAAATTTCTATTTACATACTATTAACGTTTATTCAAGTATCTATGTACTCTCTTCCCTTATTCTCTATTGGTGAATTCATCATATTATGCGAATTTTTTCTTTATTGCCTATAGGTCAACTTAAGGACGCTAACATGCTATTGGCCATCAAACCAAACGCTACGACCATCCAACCAGCATACAGGTCAAGTTAATTAATTCCTTCAATATTAGCTTTCAATTTCCAATTATACACCGTTGAAAAAAATGAATTATTATAAGCCGATAAAAATAAACTATTTATTGCTAATTATCCTTAAAATTGACATATTTGTTGAAATGCGCAAAGTCGTGGGGACGTTGCATGACTTAATCTTACGGTAAGCCTTACGTTTAAGGTGAATACGTGTTTCAATTGAGTTCTGGAATTTGTGGAAAATTTTGGAGACTAAGTAAATAATAACAAATAAACATCCAGTGCTGCACAAGACTATGCTACGAAATTCGAGTCGTGGGTACTGTACTAATGCCACAGGAGCCATAGCGGTGTCTACATCAATATAATCAACACTATAATCAGTCCTAAAAGAGAACATTAAAAGCATCATAGTTATTTCTATATTCAAGGAATTGATGTAGAGCCGTCGAGAGTGGTGAGGAAATTCACATTACATATTGTTAGAAATTACAATTGTTTGTCAATTTAAAAAAGGTAGGCGGTAAAAGAGACATCGTCTATATCCTTTTATTCATTTGGAGGCGCCGCTGCAACAAGCGATTGGACAATTGAAGGCGGCATTCGCTTGACGTACTCCTCATGCCAAGCAGTGTTGGGAGTGACGATCAAACCGCGGCAGTCCATTGGCTGCACACCGGCAGCATAGCTGTACTCACGTCCATCGATTCCTGTCAACTTGCCACCAACCGCATTGATCAGGGCTTCAACTGCGCAAGTATCCCATCGTTTGCAACCAAGACTAGCATAAATATAAGCATGGGCAACACCTTCCAAAAGCATCAACATCTTGTAACCACATCCACCAAGTCGGTAGAGCTAAGTATAAGAAACAAGCATTTGCAATTATTTATATCAATTATAGTGGTGAATAAGGGATGTGTGATAGACTTATCTCCACGTGGTGCAACCTGGGCAACGTATACTCATACAGCAAAAAAGTCTACAAACCGGCAGTTGACTTCTCACTTCAAACTACCACGATCCCAATGTACGTCATATTTCACCACTTCCAGAGTACTCACCTTGCCTTTTCCCTGCCTTTGTGTCGGTTTGTCTCTTTTACATCTGTGAATCACTCTCCTTTCCCCCTCTCGAATTTTTCTAATTTTGATGTTCCCCTCCACTGTGAAGTCCGAAGTCAGCTAAATGGATTATGATAACTATCAAAACGCCTGCCATTTGAAAAAATAAATAGTGGTGAAAAATTATCTTAGAAACCATATCAGGTAACTATCAGATAGCTATCTTAGGTGTTGTGATTCATCAGACACATTGGCTTTAAATGATATGATGTGGGGGAAGAAATTCGAAGCGGAAACACGTACAAAGGTAAACATGGAACAAAATAGAAGTTACCAAACCGAGATGCACCCATCTATACATTCTTTACGTAGAAATAGAGACTATTGAGTCAAGAAGATCGCTTCCTCTCAGTTTTATACTTTATATTTCTCTGCCCGATCATCAGTCGTTCCCATTAACTTGCCCAGTTCGACAACAATCAATTTTATTTACTAATTCAGGTCAAACGGAGTCAATTTTCTCTCAAACTTGCCCGATCATAAAAGTGAGGATTCTGGACATGAACATGTTTTGTGGAAAGGAAAAAAAATTGACAGTAAGCCAGGTACTTCAAAAACTGACTGCTATTGCAAAATGACTACTTCAATTGATCGTATTCGCGCCACTGAAAAGACGAGAAAACATCAGAAGAAGCGAGCAAAACTCTTCAATAAGAGCTAATGTACTTCTAAAATTTCAATTCTTAAGTCTTCAAGTTGACCCCCTTTAGCTCAAGGGGGATACTTGTTTTAAAATTCAAATTCAAGTGTAAGACCCTTTAACACCCTTAAATAGGTTCATGCATGCAATATTTATCTAATTACATGGAATGGCTAGCCACGCTGATAGTTTAATTTTCCCCTAAAAACAGGTTGACAAGCCCATCATTGAAATTTATAAAGAAATAACAAGGGAGGGAGGGGGGGGGGTTAAAGGTTAATGCGAATGATCCATTACAAAAAAAACTGTCAGAAGCAATGAAACATAAGTCTGCAATCATTTGCTGTTGACCGTTCAATTCATTAGCCGCACTTCTGCCAATACACAATGAATTGTGAAAGTGACCATTGTACTACGAACACGATGACTGACGAGGCAGTTAATTCTTAATTTTCATTTATAGACTGACAAAGGAAACGAAATGGACTAACTCACTTAATTGGCTCCCAATAAACCCCCTTTTCATAACTCAAGTTGCCGTCACTCAGTATTACATCAACCCCTCCCCAAACTCATTTCCAATTCCTTTTCCTATTTACCTAAGGCATTTGCTTCCTGTCAATCTTTAGAAAAACCAACGGTTATAAAGGCCAAACCTGACCCGGGATTGTTAAGCAGATTTAGTGCAGGGATTGAGGCTACATTAATTTCAATATAACTACCACCCTCTGGAGTACGACAGATAGAACAATTGGAATAATTTTAGCGTACCCTAGAAGGAAAACAAGCATTGATAGCCGCAGCAGTAACGGGCGTGGACCTCGACCGCGTACAGACAATCCGATTGGTATCTTTATCTTCTGATTTCATACCCAATTCGTTAAAAATCGGAGCCTGGCTAATAGGCTCTCCGGAGAGACCAAACACACCCAGACCTTCCAGGCCCCAAATAAGACGTTGAGTGGTCTCTTGGACAGAAGGTCGACGATCCTGATCATCATCGGATTCCAAGAAATTGCGGAAATCGGGCATATAGAAGGGCTGGCAGACAACACCTCCTACGGCTCGGCCATGAACTGCCACACCGATAAGGATCGTTACGTGTTCCAGTACACCCTACAAGTGTGAAAGACAAAATCGTGATCAATATTTCAGCTTATTTGAAATAATAATAATTAAATAACATAAGGCTATTGCAGTTCTTAAAAGCAAAATGAAAGTGAAATTTAGCGAGTGATAACAAATGTAATGCCATCTAATTCAAATATACAAAGTGATCCTAGTGATATAATAAAGACAAGATTTAAACTGCTAATTAAACTGATCAAATGAAGTTTTGTAAACTAGTCGGTTGACTTTCTGAGAATCTCCAGTATTTATTAAGCACATCTAATCAAGATAAAGCTCTCCTATGCCTACTAAAGGGTGATTCAGAAGAAAAATATGAAGAATTTCATGAAGATAGATAAAAAATTGACCGAGGACAATTAATTCTGCTCAAATGACAATGTAAAAGACTCTGAAGTAAAAGAAATTGAAATTAGGCATCAGGGAATAGATTACATAGATTAGAATTATTTATCTTTGGAAGAGGCCATCCTATCTTATCACAAGAAAATTAATACGGATTGCTCTGTACATTTACTGCACTTTTAAAACTTACATGCCTTAACAAAAAATCTCCATTAGCCAATAAGAGTAATTATAATATTCTCACAGGGCGGCATTATATATCCAACAAAAAGTTGAACAAAATCGAGAAAGAGAATATCGGCAATTAAAGGTAAAAAACCGAGCAAGCTAAATAAAGTGGAAAAGTATGTGAATGTAAGTCAGGGTTCTTATTTGTCAGGTAATAGTTTAAATAGTTATAACAAAGATATTAGATTATCTCGATAAAACTCTTTCAATAAATGTTAAAAGGATACCTCGAAATCTACATGATATACAGAAGAAAGTCTAAGTGAAATCAGCAAAAAAACGCTAAAGTCAAAATGGTATAAAAAATGAAACATAAAACAAAAATTTTTAAATTTATGTTAAGCTAACCGAAGTAAATTCACTAGTTCCGTCCAAAGGATCCACCCACACTACAACATCTTTTAAGCCAACAGACCGCAAGTTTTCCGGACAAGTTTTAGATAACACCACAGAATCGAAATCATCAATGATTCGAGAATGTGGTTGCTCTGTATCGCCCAGTTCTTCTTCGCCTAGATATATAACAATAAAACAGATCAAAAAGAAAGAAATGCCAATAAAAATAAATTATTAGCATACCAATAATACAAATTTCTGGGAAGTTTTTAGAGAGGGAACTGACAATGCAGTGCTGGGCGCTACGATCAGCTTGAGTTTGTAGATCGTTTACTCCCTTGTCAATGATCCCCAGTTCACCACTTGAGAGAACTTTGCGAATAATAGAACCTGCAAAGTTAGCTATGGAAACGGATGAGGCCATAAGCCTCATTATGAAAGGTGGCTCCATAACAAGCCTTCTTTTATGTAGAAAACGTAATCGTAGTAATCTATGTGTAAAGATATTAGACATTTGACTAATCCTAAATTATACCCTGTTTCCCGACAGCAAAACCACTGATTACAGTGAGAAATGCAGTTAGCCTACAAAATTCGTTATTTTAAGAAGTCTCAAATCTCACGAATGGCCAATTTAAACTTTTTCAAGGTCAAATATCTATTTTGTTAATACCAATAATTTTTCGCCGTTATGAAATAATTAAATGACATTACTAGCTTCGAGGCTATAGGACTAGAAAATCTGAGGGAGGGCAAAATTGAATGAAACAATCATTTTTTTCAAGCGGATTATTTGTACAAAAATGCTGTGGTGTTTCTCCACCTATTTATCAATACGAAGTATGAAAAATTTAACGGAATGTAAAATTCCCCATCTCTCATTTCTTTTGTTCTGCTTTTATGTTGATGACTGGCAGTATAGTTAATATAAAATTATAAAATATATTCTAGGGTAGTATGACAACACAATAATGCAAAAATGTTCATCATATTGATTATATCCGTAAGTTCTGCAAGCAATTTGGTTTTTTGCTTATTCTTAGTGCAGTTCCACGGCTATTGTGCCATTAATATGTCACAAATGCTCATGGACACACAAATATCCTCAGAACGTTAAGCTAGTGACCATATTCAGTTGTACAACTTTAAAGCAACGTAACACATATGGGATTAGTCTAAAGCATGTTTGTAAATAGACATTCTAATACACACTTAAAATTTTTTAAATTGCATTTAATCAACGTTAAGAAAATTACACATTAAAACTGAAATAAAATGCCCCATAAATTAAATCAACTTTAAATGATTTATGTGCAAACAGAATAACCTGATTTTATTCTGTTGTAGATGAAAATAACAATAATTCAATGGCTATTTTGGATTGAAGATTCAATGTGTACACAAAGTTATGTGCATATATGAATTTTAAAATTAATTCGACTTAAAAATAAGTTTCACACTAAAGCAAAAGTCACAATTTCTTTAGTGAAATTATTTTAACTGATTACCTTCGCCATTATGCCAAATGAATGTATGCATACTTGGTGAGATAATTATCCGATTATGCTGAATGACTTAGTAGTTTTAAACTCAAAAATCTTTTACTCCCTTCGTTTAAGAATTTTCAAGTGGAAAAATGAATGCGATGAATATTATTTGATAATAAGAACAATTAATTGGTTAGAGTTGAGTTTCGCTCCCATAAAATGTCTACCAAATATGGAAGCAATGAGAGCTAAACTTAGATTTGTGAAATTGTAAATTTTATTTACATCTCGCATATGAGGGTTTTCTTTTCCAAAAGTTGCCATCTTGTCAGGTGTACCAAATTTACACCTTTAAGGATCAAAAATTCTAGAATCTCTATTTGATTCTTCAGTTTAATTTTTAATGGATACCCAAATTTAAATAAAATAACTCTTTAATACTGCTATATGGCTACTTATATCACTATTGCTATATTTACTTCAAATTATCCACGTCCCTCAACTTCGACCTTCCACTTTAGACCAATTGAATTTGACCAAACATGGGGTATATTCATGTGTCTGCATTTACCCCATGTAGAGTGTTCTTAGTCCTTTTCATCTTACGGGTTTTAACGTGAGGAACATCAGTTCCTTTGATATGACTTTCCTAAATTTCCGTATTGGGCGTCTCACTGCAAAGAGGCTTATTTTAACATCGACACCTACGTTTCTAGTTCTTATACTTGTTTATGTATGTTGTCAAATAATGTTATCTATTTATTAAAAGTTTCACATACCTTTCCATACCAATAACCCGCCTAAGTACAATAGGCAACACCTGTTGTGGAATTTTTCTCGGGAGAAATGCTCTACTATTGTTGAAGAACTATCCAGAAATGGGGAATTTAGAAAACCAATCCGAGTACTCAATCAATGTCCTAGCTCAGGTACGTATTTGATGTTTCCTTCTAATTTTTTTACTCAAAAGTTGAATGAGTTCTTGTTCTCGGCGTTATCAATGTATCACCTTTCAAATTAAGTAGAGTTTATTGATGCAATAAAACAGTCTACATTCAGTAACCTATCACAGCAACGCAGAATTATTTGAACTTGTTAAATCAAATTGACAAATCAAATATTTGCTAGTAATGAAAAAATAAATGTTGGATGTTTCGAATTTTTCAATTTTTAGTATTGCGGAATATAATTAAAGCCCAATATGGTTTAGTATATGCTTTTTGTTTCGAGCTGATAGAGGACTTTTGCTCCGTGTTCTAACTCTATGTGATAAATTTTACATCTAATAATGATAGTGGTTGTGTTTATAACTCCTAAGGCCCTTTTAGATGTTCAATTTGACTCAATTTATCTCTTATTCAAGAAACCACCTATAGCCATGGGCTGTTAATGTTTATATTAGTAGTAAAAGGGCTGATAACGTGGTGGATATGTCAATGATGTGGTATATTTCTCCTTCGAATTGTTCATTTTATTTCAAATGACAGACGTTTTGATAGTTGCCATTAGCCCTTTGGCTGGCTTCGGACTTCACAGAAGGGAGGAACATCAAAGTGGGAAAAATTCCAGGGGGGGGGGGGAAGAAGAGTGATTCACAGATGTAAAGGGACAGAGAGACGCAAAGGGAGAAAAGGCAAGACGAGTACTGTTGAAGTTGCCCAGGGAGCACCACGTGGAGGTAGGCCTATCGCACACCCCTCCTTCGAATTTTAAAAGTAGAATTGTCCGCTTTCTCGCAAGTGGTATAATTTTACTTAATTAAACGGTTGTTCATCCCCGTTTTATTCATTTGTTTCTTTAAAACCTATGTAAATTAACGCTAGATATCCTCTCCGAACCATCGACCTGCTTAAGGCTGGAGTGTAGCCGCACCATTTCTTGTTTGTTGATCAAAGGGGCGTAAATGGGGGAGGTATGTAGGGAACTATTAGGTTGTGGAACAGGTAATATGGGTACTCTACGGCGGTTGACAGATTTAACTTTTTTCTGGGCTAAAAAACTGACAGTTAAAGATAAGATATGAGTCTGCAGGCACGCCATGAATAGAGAGACTGAGCTGGCCTTTGAGCCAGACACCTTCGTGTAAGTTAGGAAAGAATGACGTTGCCTACCATCCCTCTTAAAATACTTATTTACGTTTCTCCATTCATTTTAAATGCATATGACGTGACTTGAAATATTACGAGGTTTTATTGATGCGCGACCTTCCTCTTTTGTTTTGTGTCGCTTGGATTTAACACATATTTCCACAACTGATTCATTTCCTCTTATTTCTTTTCTCGGTATTCATATGATTTCATTTGCCCTTGACAAGGTCTTGTATTGTGCGGAAACGTCCGAACTTACGTAGTGGTATAGGGGAAGGGATTGAATAGAAATTTGCTATTAAATCACAGCATCAACAGTGCTTTCCTGGAGTAATCAAACTGCAATAAGCGGTTCGTTAGCCTCTTCTTACTACAAAAATCACTTTCTCGACTTCCAATATTTATTGAGCATCTTAATAATTAGCTAATTAGGATGACTGTCCATATGATTTCAATGCACTTTTATTTTAAGTAAGCCGTGGGATACTGCTGGCGTAGATAGTTATGCTGTTTTTTTCCTCTTACCTACTTTTCAGCTTCTCTTAATGATGACTGGCGTCACGTGGGGTGTTATTACTATGAACGCGCCAAAACGCCTCTCAAGTTAGTCTTCTACAACGAGACTGAACGAAATTCAATCCGTCACTGTGTCCACGCATGCAAGTGGGCTGGTTTGGCCTATGCTGGCCTAGCCGAAGGCACGCTGTGTTATTGCGATCGTCAACTTCCTGTCTTTATGCTTCCAGCCAAAGAGGAGGATTCAATACCCTGTCCCGCCACGTCTTCGTGGGAGACTTGCGGTGGAAAGAATGCTATTGATATATACGCTACGGGGGTCGCGGAAGATTTGACGTTTTCTGCTCCAATTTTATGTAAATCATTGCAATTTAAACTGTATTTCTGCTGAAATTACATCAGTGAAGTCAATGCTAATTATTAAAATTTAGCTGACGCTAACCCGATAGTATCTCCTGGAGGAATGGCCTCCATTTCGGATGATTTTAACCACGTACGAGTAGTCTACGTTCTCGTTCTCACAGGTCGAAGCTGGAGACAAGTTCAAAGAATGTTTCGACTGCTCTATCATACATCTAATTACTTTTATATTCATGTTGATCTGGTTAGTCAATTTGTTCTAATTTACGGCCGTAGAAAAGCGAATATTTGTATTCCCGATGCAAAAAGCTTGAAGAAGTCTTTCCGTATAATGTACACGTGACATCAAATCGTCTAAACCCCTTATGGGGAGCGCCTAAACTTCTCGATCTTATTATTACTATTGTTCAGGATCTCTTCGAAAATTTCCCCCATTGGAAATGGGACTTTTTCATCAATCTGAGTGAGACTGACCTCCCTGTAATGTAAGTTGGACGTAAAATGGATTAACCCTTTTGTATCTAGTCCTGTTGGGAAGCTCATACAGCTATTGGGTTCTCATCGTGGTCGGATATTCTTGCGACAATCAAATGAAGAGATATTTAAGTAGGTTATTTTAGCGGTATATTAACCTCCATTCTGCTTAGGTACATACATGCTGAAGGGCTTGGATATGCCTTCCTACATTGTGGCGATTACATTTGGCGGGTGGGTCAACGTCCTCCCTTAGAAGGCATTGTAATTCATGGGGGTTCAGATTGGTTAATTCTTCCGAGAGCGTTTGCCTACTACTCTGCATATTCTAATGACAGTCTTGTTCGTGAACTACGAGCCTGGTTCCAGAATGCTATTCTTCCTGTGGAAACTTTCTTCCATACTCTGGCTTATAACTCGCATTTCTGTGATCGAATTGTGAATACCAATCTCCGGCTGATTAATTGGCAACGACCAAGGGGCTGTTCATGCAAGAAAACCAGTGTTGCCGACTGGTGTGGTTGTTCCCCATCCGTATTCTCTGGTCCACAGGCTATGATCGGGCTTCTTGATGTCCTCAACATGGATAGTAACCCAGTTGCATTTGCTAGGAAATTTGACTCAACCATTGACGTTGCTATGGTGAATTATATGGAGAGGAAATTGCTGAAACGTCAGCTGCCATTTTATGAGGGCACAGACTTGTATATGGAGTCGGTTTACTCGTCCCAATTTGATGGACAGAGGGCACCCTTGCATGTACTAGAAGGAATTAGAAGGTTGCTTCAAATGGGATGCAGTTTGCATTCAAAAGCGTTAGCAAATGTGTGCAATGGTAAGTATGGGGGTGTGTGTGTGTACGCGATGCGGTCTGGCCCAAATTTAATCGTGCAATAATGACAATCAGGACAGTGAAGACAACCTCCTAGCGGTATTTGTAATAGGTAAGGCATTAGTGTTTTAGCGACAAGCACACCCAAAAGTACGAAGACTAGCTGTCATACAATTGCGTATATTATTTTGGTTTTTAGAAATGAGTAGGTTAATATATTTCATTTATTTCAAATGGCGTTCATTTTGATGGTTATCATTAGTCCTTTAGCTGATTTCAGGCTTCACAGAGGAGGAAGGGAAACATTAAAGTGGCAAAAATTCGAGAGGGGGGACAGAATAATGATTCACAGATGTAAAAGAGACAGACAGGGTCAAATGTTAAGCAAAAGGTGAGGCGAATCTGCTGAAATGTTGGAATATGACATACAGTGGGGTGATGGTAGTTAGAAGTGAACTGCCTGTTAATAGACTTTTTGCCGTATGAATATACGTTGCTCAGGGAGGACCACGTGGAAATAAGTCTATCACACACCTCGCGCGGATTAATGTAAAATTCCAAACTCAAGGAAAACGCTACTTTCAAATTTTTGTTCAAACAACCAGAAATTTTTCAAATATCCCAAAACAATGAGATCTTTTCTATAGCAAAAGGCATTAATCACAACTAACCATACGCAAATTTTCTTTCTCTTCCTCCTAGTAAGGAGAATAATCACCATTTAGGGAGTGTGCGTGGTATGACCTTTTTCCTCAAATATGTGCTTTGTACATGAATAGGGTTTGGAGTTTCGATACAGTAGAATACGATTGAAGCCAATTTTTGTGACACATCAGCAATCCTTCTTATTAACAAAGTTCGGGTTGTGCGATAGACTTACCTCCACGTGGTGCACCCTGGGTTACGTATACTCATATGGCAACAATAGTCTGTATACTTTCAGTTGACTTCAAACCTCCATCACCCGACTCTATGTCATATCCGACCATTTACACAGTACTCACCTTACCCTTGATCGTGGGAATATAACTTTTACTTTGATTTTAATGCGTGAAGAAAGTAAAGTGACAAATTTTAGATTGGAAACAAGATTTGCATAAAATTACAGTCGGGATTAGGACCTCTTTATCCTTGAAACTTCACCTCTTAATGTGTTTACTTATTGAAGCCGTTTAATCATGTATTTAAAGATTCCAATAAGATCGACCCACGGTTACAACCGACAGAGGTCTATGCATTGTTCAACGCTAGCCAATCTCTCGGTAAGCTGAACTACACCAGCATTGAGGACCACTTCGCTGTGGATGGTTTCCTACCCACTTCTCTCCTCACCACTCCTCTACCTCTTCGCCTGCTTAACCACCCGAGCCTGGTTCTGCGCTTTTCAGACAAAGAGGTGCTTTACCGACCACATGGCACTCAAGTACAAAATTGGATATCATCTCGGCCACTCGAGGATATTAAACCTGGCGAGATTTACTACTTCGAGGTGGGTTTCAGTCGAAAGACCTTTAGTTTTTTTATAAGGGATGATGAATTTCGAATGCGCCCTTCCTAGAATCACTTAAATATAGATCCAATTTTAATAAATCTCGAATTCGAGAAAGTGAGTACTGTATGGATGCGTTTAGCGTAAAATATTAGCAGATTTGCGATCAAGCTTACTATCAGTCAGTGAGTTATAGAGTGAGATAGCTAGACACGCCCACCCACCAATATTTGGTTCCATAGTCAGTCAGTTAGTCTTGAAACCACAGCACTTTCATTACTTGACGATGTGAAAGTGTTCGGTCGGAGTTTTTTTTCAAAACACTTAGGCCAACAGTATAGAGGTTTTGGCTGTTTATGGCAAAAGTTTACATTTTCTTAAACACGTCTAATTCAAACTTGTCTGGCGTCAAAACAGCGTGCACCAGAACTGTTGAAATCGAAAAGATTCCGTGTTGCCTCTCCACTCTCACTCTCAGAATTGCTACTCATAGTTGACATTCTTAATCTCTTATTTTTACTCAACTGTGCGGCAATCAGGAAGGCAAGTGAATTATTAAATGGAACCAGCCACAAAAATTGGTTTTATTACGCGTTATTATGAGTTTTTTTTTCTAAATTACACCCTTTTTCTGATTCCAAGGTTGGTTCTAATTTCGATGCCAAAGAAATGATTTTCCGCAATTACCTCCGATTTCCACCTCGCCTCCGTCCTGCCACATCTCCCCTCACCATTCTTGTGATTTGGCGAGTTTCAAAAACTCCGCCTTCCCCTCTTAGCATCACCCTCCATTCTTTAACAGGGGATTCATCTATCTGCAACTTTAAGCTCCCGCGAAATATTCAAAAGGATCCCTTATATCCAGGTCTTCCCGATTTTAGGTCCTCTTTTCTAGAATTGAATTTTTCCTCATGCACTTTTCCCCAAAGCCGCAATGTTTCATTCGAGCTTTTTGTAAATGGGCACGTCGAAAATGGCACTGCTATATCAACGATATTTCGCGAATACTTGGAGGTGGACAAATTGTGGAAAGCAGTGGACATCTGTGAGGCAGGCGAGTGTGCGTTGAAAGTCTGGAGTGCATCACGAGTGGATCGAAAATCGGCTCTTGGGTGCTTGGATGCTAGAACAGGACTTTTACATGTTGGAAACACAGCTACTGATTTACTTGATTTTCCTATTTGACCTCTTTTTATATCTCTATACATTTTACCTTTATGTGCCATATGAATAAAATATGTCGCGTTCATTATTTTGGAAATCACTTGTAAGAGATTGTTTTATTTTCGAGAGTTTGCAAACACTATTGTGGCTCAAATTAGGTCTAATGATTTATAATAGGGAAATGAATTTCCTCATTTCGTAGGAGTAAAAGCTTGTCTTTCGCTATGCTGAAACGAATCTTTATGGAAAGTGGATCTTGAAGCCATTTTGGATACAAAAGCTGAAGAATGCATACAACCTGATGAGTATTTCATCTTGACGAATCAATTGTTGCCCTCCTCTCACCTTTGACTGATTGGTTGCTGCCTGACATGTATGCTCCTTAGGCCTATTTACTACACCATAGTAGCAACGCGCCGAATCTCCTGCATAAGAAACACAATCGAGGGGAGACCGGGGGGGGGGGTGGAGGGTAAACACTAGTAATAGTCGAGGAAAACTGAAAGTACCATAACCAAGGGGGGGGGGATGCAGATGCAAAATCGTAATTTCCGGTACTATTATGTAGTCATCCACTAGATGTGGCTGGGTCTAGGTTGCCTCTAAGGCAGAGATAATGTCACAGCTTATGTTTATTGGCTTGCAGGCTTTATGATAGTTATCATTGGCCCATTTGCTGACTTCGGGCCTCGCAGAGAGTAGGAGGAGGAGGAATAACGAAGATGGGGAATAGAATAGTGATTCAAGGATATAAAAGAGATAGACAGACACAATGGCAGAGAAAAGGTAAGGTGAGCACTGTGGAAGTGGTTGAATATGACATACAGTGGGTTTATTGTAGTTTGAAGTCAGAAATCAACTGCCAGTTAATAGACATTTTACCGTATGAGTAAACTTTGCCCAGGGTACACCACGTAGAGGTAAGTCCGTTGCACACCCCGCATTGATAATTATTAAACAGGGCAAAATAAAATTACTGGACTTAAGTTTCCACAGGATTAATTAAGAAAGAACGGTGGGCCAAGCTATTTCATAGGACGCCAGAATGAAAGAAAGGTGAAATGCTGCCATGTTGGTCAACTCCCGTCGAAGGCATGTTGGAAATGTGGTTAATACAATTTGATTTCCCCGCGCATCATTGAACCAGTTGTAAGACAAGGTTGCTTATTCCATAGTAGAATCGAGATTAGAGACGCACCACCTAGCATACAATAGATTAATGGTTAAAAAGAGTGAGCAGATCAGAACTGATGTTTTGGTAAGGATTGTTTTGCTTTAAACGGTTGAATAATTCCACATTTTGCTTCATTTAAAACGTCCCCCGTGATTCTTAAATTAATCTTTTTTTCGAGTGCATTTGCGTAAGCCTAGGTAATGTATTGGATTTAACGAGGAAACAATTTCTAAAGCTGAGAGATTAGAAATGAGAATTTCTGTCCAAATTCGGACAGCAGAGCAGACTTATTATTTGCAACATCAAATTCATTGATATTTTTAGGAAATTTAATTTTCGCTGAATTAAACAATTAATCGTTGGTACCCACAAGCACTAATGATGTCTTCCTATCATCTGGTGGGTTGTCAAATCAATCAAATTATTTAATTAATAAATCCTTTTATTAACTGATTACATCAGGGGTGTAAATTGAGCAAAACTATGCATACCTTGCTGGTTCCTCGGAAAGAACTTTGGAGTCCAACGAAATCCCGTGGGCACATTTTATACCCACTAGGGTTTCAATTTTCAGAGAGAGAGAATGTCACAATTCGTACTCTTAATTGTGAAAAGTAAGCTAACTTTCCTCATTGACCTGTAGCGGATTACTACTTTATTAAAGCCTGACTGACTCAGAAATCTCTATGGCAGATCCTCCTACATCTAGCTAGACTCCCAGAACCAGCTAAGCTATAGCCCAGCTATCAAGGAAACCGACGTGTAGCACGGAGCACGTTTATTCAGGACGTATATTGCGGATAAGTGTGTACACGCAGGGAGCTACTCATGATCAGGATGGGGGATTAGGTCGAACAGAGGTTAGTGATTGGTCACTGTTTGTACGGTCGCTGCACACAGAGTTGTGGTCGCTGCACACAGAGTTGTACGGCCGCACCTCCCAATCAGAGCAGACATGCAGGCATACGGTGCACACAGCGATAACGTGTCCCACATGTCTAAGCCAGCTAGATGACATGAGAGATGACCAATTGTTTGTCCCACAGACCTTTAATTTCTATTCATTGTGTACGTTTGGGAGACCTATATTTGGTTGAAAAAAATTTAGAAGATAGATTAGATGGCAAATTTCTTCTTGGCAAGCCTGTTGCATTGGCAGCTAATTTTCTTGGAATCTTATTTTTCTCATTTGATTTACTGACAGAAAATTTGAAGTAAATGGCCAAGTGAAGAATAAAAAAATTATGGATAATTCGCACTTCTTTTGCTACTGAAAGTAGGGATAATGAGCTATATTTTTGCTCAGTGGCTTCTAAACTACTGAATTCCAATCGTATGAATCGGTTACAACTATCTGGCTAGACACGATAGTTTTCACGGATATCACAACCCCTCCCAGTTACGTGGGAAACTCTGGTTTCAATTCTGCTTAAGAATTACTTCCATTATTGCCTATCTCAATTAAATTAAATTGTATTACGCACTTAAGGACGAATTTCCTATTTCTAAGGCCGACATTTAACTGACTTCAACCTACTTGTTTTAAGAAGAACGAATATAATGTTCGACTTGTTAGCTTTTGCTTTCCTCTGTTCTGGGAAAAGCACAAATACGAGCCTTAGTAAATGAGCCGAATTTTTATGAATTTTTATTAGTGGTCTTTCTAATCGAAATCGACTACCAAACTTTATTTTTTTGATCGGCTTTAAAATGAGTTGCTATACAGGTGGACTAATGAAGATTAATTTCTTAAGGTTAGAGATCTCCATGAGGATTTATAAACGTTTATTGTTTACCACATTTGAATACTAGATAGTATAGCATTAAAGTATATTCTCCTTCTGATTCAAAAAGGCGTTTGTTTCAGTAGCGTGAACCTGACAACTAAGTCTACTTTTTCACCTGGTTTGAAATAACCTCTAAAATTGACTAGTCTACTTCAACAATACAGAGAAAATAGAGCGTAAAGTATGAGTAACATATTTTATGGTTGTGTGTCACCTCACAAAGCTTACGCCCCCCTACACCACGTTTAAATTGGTTAGTAAATCATTGGAATTCTGTTGCCAATTGTTGAATTAATAGCACTTTTGATTTTTGAAAAAAAACAATTCTTTGAACCATTTTCCAAAGTTGTTTTGATTTATGCGAAGTTCGTTAAATATTAATAGGATGTATGCATTGCCAATAATATTCTCGCTAATCGTTTTTTGCCTGGAAAAGGTTGAATTAATTTAAGTCTCAAATATATTTAATAAATCAATATATGCTTTTACCACTATGCATTCAGGAAAAATAAAAGCATATAAACGTTCCACTCCTTGAAGTCAATATCGGAATTCAATATTACCGTACATAAGCGCACAATCAATAGCCCAATAATTGAAAAAGCATATATGTATTGAACAGATTTAATGTTAATGACATTAGTACAATGGTGACATAGATTCACTTGTGATATCTAATGTGCCTATCTAAAATTAGAGGTTTTTATGTGACCATCTTGTGTTGTGACGTTGAAGAAAATATTTATTTATTTATATCAAACGGCAGGCGTCTTGATGGTTATCATTAAACCTTTAGCCGACTTCAGACTTCACAGAGGAGAAGGAACATCAAATTGAAAAAAGTCGAGAGGGGGGGGGGAAGAGAAGAGTGTTTGAAAGATGTAAGAGACAAACACAAAGGTAGATGAAAGGTGAGGTGAGTACTGTGAATAGTCGAATATGGTATAGAGTGAGGTGATGATAGTTTGAAGTCAGAAGTCAACTGCCAATTAATAGACTTTTTTTGCTGTATGAATATACGTTGTCCAGGGTGTACCACGTGGAGGTAAGTCTATTGCGCACCCCTTTGTTGAAGAAAGTAAACAGCAGTTAGTGATATCAAATAAAAACTCGAAAATTGACATCAATTGATGAAGAAAGATCCGAGAATGCACTCAGAATTCGAAAAAAGGTTTTAAACAAATTCCAAACTTTAATATTAAACTTCATTTTCCTCCTGATCCAAAATTTATGTGACGGCATCAAGGCAGATAAGATTGTTTAGCGTTGGAGCAACGGCGCTGTCATTAACTATACATATAAGTTATATATGTTTATAGACGCTAATTTTGAACTCATAAATAACTAAAGCCAACTAGGTTCGATCAGGATTTAATCTGGTATCATTTTAGATTTATATAAAAGATTTTAAGTTTAAAATTTTCATATCTAATTAGAAAGAAAAAACACCAATTTTGCTCTAGTGGTCAAGACATCGGCCGCAACCAAAGTTACAGCAAGTTCTTTGTCAAAGCACTTAATGCTATTATGGAAATTCCATTTTCATTGGTAAATGTTTGATTGGTCCATTCTTTAAGCTTAACCTCGGCTAATTTTAACTTGGCAACGCATAATCTAACGCACGATTACCCAGTGGAAGAAATGGAAGAATTGGATTAATTTAAAATATTCCGACTGTCATTAGTTGGAAGCCATGTTTTCTACTGGCCAATAACGAAGGTTGTAAGCGGAATTGTCTGCAGTTTGCCAGTGATAAGAGGCGGCTATTTAGTCCAAGCGATTAAAATTCTTCTAATGAGATAATTGAAACATAATAACAATTTAGAGCCATATTGTGGCATTTTAACTTTGTAAAAATGTCAAAAATGATGCGATTAGGAAAAGGAGTAATTTATAGGAAACTAATCCCTGAAATACCCATTTCACTGTTACCTAGTTTAAAACTGCTACAATAGATAAACAGGGGTGTGCGATGGACTTACCTCCCCGTGGTGCACGCTAGCAACGTATTTTCATAATGCAAAAAGTCTATAAACAGGCAGTCGACTTCTGACTTCAAA